TCCTGCAGCAGCAGCAGCAGCTGCTGCTGCTGCTGCAGTACGCGGCTACCTGCAGCAGCTGCTGCTGTCGCCTGCTGTTGCTGCAGCGAGAAACAGCTACAGGCTTCTCACTGCGGGACTCTCACTAAGCGCAATCAAGAAAGAGTGGCGGCAGCAATATGGTGTGCTGCTGCTGCTGCTGCTGCTGCTGCTGCTGTTGAAGGATGTGTGTGGCTGCCACCTTCGCTGCCGCTGCTGCCGCCGCTGCAGCGCCATCATAGTCACCAGGCCCCGTACCAGCAACAGCAGCAGCAGCATTTCTCGATGCATGTCTGCTGCTGCTGCTGCTGCTGCAGGTGAATCTCTCTCTCAGCGGCTGGAAGAGGAAAATGTGTCTTTAGAAGACCTAGCAGCAAACGAGCCGCATTTGCTGCTGCTGCGCTGCAGCAGAGAGCCACGAATAGCCACGCGGCAGCACCTCGACCAGTTTGGCCTGCTGCAGCTTCCCGCTGCTGCTGCTGCTGCAGCAGCGGCAGCACCTGCTGCTGCAGCTGCTGCGCCTGCAGCAACTGCGCTCAGCAACGAGGCGGTCAGTTGCTGCAGCGGTGCAAAAACATCAGCGGCAACCACAGCTGCAGCAGCAGCAGCAGCAGCAGCAGCAGCAGCAGCAGCAGCAGCAATGCGTGTCTTGTTTGTTCAGGTTGCTCCTATGGCCTCTGCCTTGAATGCAAATGAGCGCCGCCCTCAAGCGGAGCAGCAAAACCAGAAGCAGTTGCTGCTGCTGCTGCTACAGCAGCTGCAGCAAATGCAGAAGCAGCGGCAGCAGCAGATTAGTCCCTCAGGCAACCCTATGCAGCCTTCCGACATCCATCAGCAGCAGCAGCAGCAGCAGCAGCAGCAGCTGCAGCAGCAGCAGCAACAGCAGTTGCTCCTGCAGCAGCAGCTCCCAGTTCAGCAGCCACTGCAGCAGCAGGACAACGGGAAGCAGGTGCTGCAGCTGCTGCAGCGTCTGCTGCCTTCCCTCGAGGTCCAAGCAGCAGCAGGCAGCAGCAAAAGGGGAGCAGCAGCATCAGGGCCAGCGGTTGCTGCTGCTGCTGCTGTTCCTGCTCCCGAAGCTTCTCAGGCAGCAGCAGCAGCCACGACAACAGCAACAGCAGCAGCAGCAGCAGCAGACTCTGACTCTACTGCTGCAGCTCTTCGATCAAATGTGCATAGGTGCGAAATCCACAGAGCCATCCAGCTAGCTGGCTAGCTAGCTAGCTAGCTAGCTAGCTATGCTGCTGGCTGGTCAGTTGCTGCTGCTGCTGCTGCTGCTGTTGCTGCTGCTCAGGCTGGTGTACGTCCTCGTTGCAAGGCTTTGCCAGCAGCAGCATGCAAAGTTCCTGTTACAGCGCATGCAAAACGACCCCTCGCAGCATCAGCAGCAGCAGCAGCAACAGCAGCAGCAGCAGCAGCAGCAAGAAGACCTGCAGCTGCTGCAGCAGCAGGGGCAGTGGAAGGCAGCGCAGGACGCATGCACTCTCTCTGAGAATGTAAACTAAATAAATGAAAATAAATAAATTAAATTAATTCATTTATAAGTAAATAAATTAATTGTTTATTTATTATTTGTTTTATTTATAATAAATTTGTTTATTATTCGGTTTCTTTTGGGTCCAGCTGCTACTCCTGTTCCCGTGAAGCCATTTCATGCTGCAGCTGCTGCTAGTGCTGCTGCGGCCGTGCTGCTGCTGCTGCTGCTGCTGCTGCTGGAAAAGAAGATAGTGAAATAAAGCGCATTTGATTAGCACTATTGCAAATGGAGTTTCACTTTATCAATTTGGAATTTGGCATTTTGGAAAAGCAGCAAAAAGAAAAGACCAAACCCTAAACCCCAAACCCTAAACCCTAAACCCTGAACCCTAAACCCTAAACCCTAATTTGTGTTTTGCGCAGGGAGTGAAGGGCGTGAGGCTTTCGGAGTTGAAAGAATATTTTTATAATTTTTTTGGCTGCGACCTCCAAGTGTCTATGGAGCGGGCGGGTTATAAGGATGTGAGAAAACTTGAACTGGGGTTTTAAATTCTTTTTTTTGAATTCTTTTTGCATTTTAAAACTCCGAATTCTTTTATTTATCGTTTTTGAATCATTTAAGTCTTTTCAACTCCTTTTTTCCCGAAAAAATGCCAAATTTGAACGAGATTTCGGGCTGGTGTCGTGCAAATTCGAGCAAGTTGCACTTGAATATGCAATTAATGCCGTTTAATTTCATCAGGTTTAATGAATTTAATTTGATTTAATTTGATTTAATTTGATTTAATTTGATTTAATTTGGAATTAAAGTTGAATTCCCAGTCGAAGTGGGTTCGTCCAGACTCCCGATCTGGGTCATTTTTTGTTCATTTCTTTTCTTTTTTTGACTGATTTTGATGAATTTAAATGAATTTGAATGAATTTGAATTAAATTAATTTTATTTTATTTACCTTCACTCTTCTGCTTCTCTTTTGCTGCACTTTTGCTGCAGATCGCAGACCTTGTTGCTGCAGTCCCGGGGCTGTTCACTCTGGGTCAAGGCCCCCAAGCTCTCTGTCTCATAACGCTGCCGCGGGGCCCCCAAGTAAATAAATAAATTAATAATAATTAACTAATAAATAATAATTAATAATTAATTAATATTCAATCAATTCAAATAAAATGGCTCATATTCCCGCTGCTGCTGCTGCTGCTGTTTTGCTGCGCTGCAGCCGCCCGCGCTGAAGGAGCAGCATAGCCCCCAGAGAAGTGGGCCTTTTGTTTGTTAGCAGCATTTTAATTTATTTAAATGTTCATTTATTTATTTATTTATTTATTTATTATTTATTTATTCATTATTTGTTTATTTGCCATTTATTTATTCCCATTTATTCGTTTATCCTTCTCGCAGCACTTCAAACCTTGGCCGTACAAAGGCAAGTCTTGCTGCTGCTGCTGCTGCTGCTGCTGCTGCTGCTGCTGCGCCTCAGCTATTCTGCCTCTGCCTAGAGGCTGCGACCGCCTGAAGAGTTTTATAGCAGCAAAAGAATAATCAAAAAGAATTATAAAAGATGCAAAAGGGGGGCCCCCATTAGAAGCAAAAAGGGTACAATCGGGGGGCCCCCAACTTAAATAAAACCTCAGGGGGGCCCCCCTAGGGGCCCCCTGAGGGGCCCCCATGTCATAAACCCTATGAGGGGCCCCTTGGGGGGCCCCTGGGGGATCCCATATAAAAATACTTTAAAGGGGCCCCAGGGGGCCCCCGCTGCAATAGCACGTGCTGCTGCTGCTCTTTTCCTGCAGTTTTATGGATTTAAATAAATAAAATGAAATAAATTAAAGGAAGCAGCAGCAGCAGCAGCAGCAAGCAGCAGACAGGAGAAAAGAAAGAACTGCTGTCTTCATCTAGCTCTTCTGCTCTTTGACTCCAGGAGAAGAAGCAGCAGCAGCAGCAGCAACAGCTGCAGCAGCAGCGAAAGAAGCAGCAGCAGCGAAAGCAGCAGCAGCAGCTGCTTCTGCTGCTGTGCTTCTTCACCGCGGAAGAGCAGCTGCGCTGAGGTGTCTGTTCACCTCAGCTCCATGACTCTTAATTTCCTTTTTATAATTTATTTAATTTATTATTTATTTATTATTTAATTATTATTTATTATTTATTTATTATTTGTTTGTTGGCTTTTATTATTATCAGTTCTGGCAGCGGTGGACAGCAAGAAGGAACTGGTACGACAGCAGCAAATAAGCAGCAGAGGCAGCAACTGCAGCAGCAGAGGCAGCAACAGCAGCAGCCACAGGAGGAACAGCAGCAGCAGCAACTGCAGCAGTAGCAGCAGAAAGAATGAAAAGAAATGAAAACAAACAGAAATGGAACTAGGGCAGCTGTACACACAGCCTGCGGGTGTACAGACAGCTGAATGCATTTCACCATTTTTTGTTTTCTTTCATAAAAAAACAAACACCAAAACTAACTTCTAAATATATTTATTTATTTATTTATTATCTTTTATTGATTTATTTATTTACAATATTTATTTACTCTTTTCTCGTGTTTTGCTTCTGGATACACTTTATTTATTTGTTTATTTATCTTGTATTTATTTATTTATTTATTTATCCATTTATTTATTTATTTCTCGTGTTTTTCTTCTAAAGAACTTTATTTATTTATTCATTTATTTATTCCTTTATTTATTTATCGTGTTTTGGTTCTCCGCCGAATGGCCTGGAAGTTACCGGGAGGCCGGTGGAGTTGGAGTGTCACTGGGGCCTCAATTGGCATATATTTTGCATTTTTAATTCAAATAAAACTTTATTTTGAATTATTTTTTATTTATTTTAATTTAAAATTAGAATTCTTCCAAAATTCTGCATGCGCATGCATTTGCGTTTTCTTCAGCTTTCCATTTGCTGCTGGTGTACGTACACCGCAGCTGCGCGCGCTCACCGCTCTCTCATGTTCAACTCCGTCACTTCAAATTAAATTCAAATTCTTTTCACTTTTATTTATTTATATTTATATTATTTATTATTTCTCCTTTTTTTTGAACCTATGGCTCCCCTTGTCCACTTTCTTGGCGGCTCTATGGCTGGAGTTGAGTGTGCTGCCTGCGGCGGCCCCAAACCCTAAACCCTATATTAGGGTTTGGGGCTCCCCCAAAACCCTAGAAATTCATCAGCAACTAGTTAGGCCGCGAAAACGGCCAACAAACATACCAAGCAAGCTTGCAGCAGCAGCGGCAGAAGCAGCAGCAGGGCAGCAGCAGCAGCAGGCCAAAAATAGCTGCACACAGAAAAAATAAAAAACTGCAGGGTCTAGGTGTCTTTAATTTTGAATACGCGCACACCGAGCAGCAGCAGCAGCAACAGCAGCAGCAGCAGCAGCATCACCAGCAGCAGCAGCAGCAGCAGCAGCAGCAGTGCCAGCAACAGCCACTGCTGCTGCTGCCGGTGGGTTCGTGTGCTGTATGTACACCCAAGAGCAGCACAGCAGCAGCAACTGGACAAGCTTCCAATACACTTCATTAAAAAAAAAAGTATTTCCTGCTAGTTTGCGTGTAAGGGCTGCAGCAGCAGCGGCGCTGCAGCGCAGCAGCAGCAGCAGCAGCAGCAGCTGCCGCCGCTGCTGCTGCTGCGACTGCGGCTGGTGCATGCTGCTCTGCTGCTGCTGCTGCTGCTGCTGCGCCCTTTCTGCCCTCCCCTTCAGCAAAATATTAAATTGAATTTCTTTGTTGCCTTTTAACTGTGTCTGCAGCTGCTGGCGTGTGCGACGTGCTGCAGCAGCAGCCCCACAGGAGCCGCAGCAGCAGCAGCAGCAGCAGCAGCACGAGGAGCAGCAGCAGCTCAGCCAGTTAGCCTCCAGCCGCAGCGCAGCAAGTTCTCACTGTGACTGTCTACGCAAAATCTTCTTCTCTTTGGATTTGTTCTGCACCTGCTGCAGCAGCAGCAGCAGCAGCAGCAGCAACTCCGAGGCTGCGGCTCCCGGGTCCTCTAGACCCTTGCGAGGCTGGAGGCTGCTGCTGCTGTCTTTGCTGCAGCCAGCCGTGGGCGTACAGCTAGCGGCAGCAGCAGCAACAGCAGCAGCAGCAGGAAGCTGCTGCTGCTGCTTCCACTTAGCAGCCGCCACCGCCACGCGGCTCTCCCCCTTCCCTAGCCTGCTGCCGGTGCAGCAGCAGCAGCTGCTGCTGCTGCTGCTGCTGCTGCGGTCATGTCACTCCCTCCATGGCGCTCTAATGCCTCAGGGCCCCACACAAGGTGAGCTGTCGCTGCTGCTGCTGCCGTGCCGCTGCCGTTGCTGCTGCTGCTGCTGCTGCTGCTGCTGTGATAGCCCGGTTTGCTGCAACATGGTTGTGTGCTTCTTTTGCTGCGCTGCTTCTCAGCAGCACATCTTATGGGGGCCCCGGTCTAGATGGGGGCGCTGGGGCCCCGTGGCAGCAGCCGCAGCAGCAGCAGCAGCTGCTGATGCAGCAGCAGCAGCAGGTGGCGATGCAGCAGCAGCAGATGCACATGCAGCAGCAGCGGATGCAGCACCAGGAGGCCCCGCAGCAGATGATGCAGCAGCAGCAGCCCCAGCATCAGCAGCAGCAGGACTGGCGGCACTGGTCAGGCAGCAGCGGCTCTCTGTCTTCGGCCCCCTGGCATCAGCAGCAGCACCAGCAACAGCAGCAGCAGCAGCAGCATCAGCAGCAGCAGGTGCCTCCGGCTGCTCCGTGGAAGCAGCAGCAGCAGCCGTCGCAGCAGCAAACTGGCGGAGCAGCCCCGTGGCAGCAGCAGCAGCAGCAGCGCCACGACGCGTACGCCGGCGGCTTCAGCGACTACAGCGACTACGGAGAGCGGCAGCAGCAGCAGCAGCAGCA